TCAGGGAATACATTTAGGGAGGAAAAGTCTAGCTCTGATTCAATCAGGTAGAGGGAAGCTATGGAGGAGGAGATAAGGTATCTTCAAAAGAACGACACTTGGAAACTTATAAAGTTATCTAAGGGAAAGAAAGCTATTGGTTACAAGTGGGTATATGCGAAGAAAGATGGATCTTCTATTAGGAACATTAGGTACAAAGTCAGATTGGTTGCCAATGGATATATACAGCTTGTGGCGATGATTACAACGAGGTACTTTCACTCGTTGTGAAGCATTTGCCGATTCGGATTTTATTGGCATTAGTGACACAGCTGGATTTGGATTTGGTCCAGATAGATGTTAAGACATCCTTTCTACATAGAGATTTAGATGAGAAGATCTATATGAAACAAGCATTGGGATTCAAACCTGCAGGAAAGAAAGATTTGGTATGCAAGCTGAAGAAGTCTCTTTATGGTTTGAAGCAATCGTCGCGACAGTGGTACAAGAGATTCGACAGCTTCATGATTGGCCATGGATACACGCTGAGCTCATATGACCCACGTGTTTATATGTACAAGCTACAGCATGGTGAGTATATTTATTTATTATTATATTTTGATGATATGCTTATTGCTTCCAGAAATTCTTCGGCTATTCGAAAGTTAAAAAAACTATCATCCGAGTTTGAGATGAAGGATCTTGGATAAGCTAAGAAGATATTGGGTATAGAGATCGGGAGAGATAGGGTGAATGGGAGATTGAAGCTTATACAGAGGAGTTATCTGCAGAAGATGTTGAAGAAATTCAGCTTTGATAGAAATGCAAAGTGAGTGAGTACTCCGTTGGCTCCCCACTTTAAACTTTCAGCTTTGATATCGCTTGTTTCAGTTGAAGACAGAGAATATATGTTAAAGGTTTCATATTCCAGTGTGGTGGGTAGTTTAATGTATGCGATGGTGTGTACGAGGTCAGATTTATCATAAGCTGTGAGCATGGTATCCAGGTACATGCACGATCCTGGGAAGGGTCATTTAGAGGTCGTGAAGTTGATTTTACGATATATTAAAGGCACCGTGGATGTTGGTTTGGTATTTCAAAAGAATGAGAAAATTGGGCATGATTGTATTTGCTATATGGATTCTGATTATGCAAGGGATCTTGACAAGCACCGGTCTACTTCAGATATGTGTTTATATTGGTAGGACCACCGGTATATTAGAGATGTACATTTCAGTCTATAGTGGCTCTCTTTACTATATAGATGGAGTATATGACGGTGACTGAAGCTATTAAGGAGGCTTTGTGGTTGCATAGATTGTTAGAGGACTTAGAGATTGCACAGGAGACCATTCGGATATATTGTGATAGAATACCAGCTATCTATTTGGCAAAGAACCAGGTTTATCATGCACACACGAAGCATATTGATGTCAGATTCTACTTTGTTCATGATATTTTGGATGATGGAGACGTCATATTGGAGAAGATCCACACAATGGATAACCCTGCAGATATTTTGACCAAAGTTGTGTCTCAGGTGTGAAGTTTGGTCATTGTTTGGAGCTATTGAAAATTCTTTAATGTTGAGGGCCTTTGGAGGTCATTTGCGTGAACTACATTTGGCTTGATTCATTGGGCAAGAGGATACGTAGGCAGTCTTTTCGATGCAGCCGGTTGGATTAACTGATATTGATGGGGGGAGATTGTTTAAGCTCTCGTTTGGGTTCCCAACTTGTTGTGGATTGAGTCCGTTGTCGTGGATCCACTCCACTTCCTACTGGACGTAACAAGTAGGATATTTGGTTGTTTTTTGTGTCGGGTCAGTTTTGGGAAAAACTTTGCCGAGGTGGAGAATTGAAGAAATAGTGAAAAAGTTCAGGAAATTACACGCAGGAAACTGTTTGGAAACTTGTCGGTCGATCGCGAGATCAGCTGCGGTCGACCGGAAAACGTGCACGCTACATGGTGCATTTTCGGATTTCTGTCTGGTCGACCGCGACGTCAAGTACGGTCGACCGCGGACCCTGTAATCGATTTTACGAGTTTTCTATCATTTTGTCCGATCGACCACGGAGTCAAGTGCGGTCGACCGCGACTCGAGTCTGAGCCTGGGCTTTGTTTTCTTACCCGTTTCATTTCGTGTTGATATATAACCCTAAACATGATTAATTAGGGTTAATTAAGGACGACTTTGAGCAACTTTTGAGAGAGAATTGTGCATCCTTTGAGAGAGATTTTGTGAGAGATTTTAAGAGCTTTGTTCGAGGGTTTTTGATGAGATTGTAAACCCTATTTGTATTCTCTTTATCTCTAATAGTAAAAACTCCTCTCTTCTTGCCCCGTGGACGTAAGCAACTTGACGAACCACGTAATTTGGTTTGTCTTGTTGTGATTGTGATTTGTGCTTGTGTTTTGGTTGTGATCTTACTCGTTCTTGTTCGTGCACTATTTGGCTTTCGAGTTCCACTGCGCACAACACCAATTAATCCAACAAACTTGGATGTGACATCAACTCTATCTCTAAACCATTTTGCTTTTGCAAGAACTCTCCAAGGTTGCAACAGAACCTAACCAGACATGCTTGAAGAATTCTTCCAAATAAAAATTGCGATAATTGGACTGGATGACATAATAGTGTATGTAATAGATATTATAGCGTATCGCAGTCTTGTCCATTGCAATTTGAGCGGATGATAAAGAATGTGATCATTGCATACTCTTAATCACTATAATTGGAGTGGATGATAAAGGTCGTGATAATTGCATACCCTCCATCATTATATAATTAGAGAGAATCAGGATTTTATTCCTCTAATACCATGTGCATCACTAGTACAAAACTGGTCTGCCCAAACGGTTGGAACCGTTTGGGAAAACCCCCTCCCAAACGGTTCCAACCGTTTGGGAGACGTAAAACACCCGTTTGGGCTAAAGCCGTTGGGGACGAATTGTCCCCAACGGTCGCCCAAACGGTTGCAACCGTTTGGGCAAAACCCCAAACGGTTACAACCGTTTGGGATATTGCCCAAACGGTTGAAACCGTTTGGGCAAAAAATCGCCCAAACGGTTCCAACCGTTTGGGCCAAATTTTAGCCCAAACGGTTGAAACCGTTTGGGCGAAAATTAGCCCAAACGGTTTCAACCGTTTGGGCTATTTATTTTAATAGTTTTAAAATTTTGGCTTTTTTATTTATTTTCCCCCGAAACGGTTTCAAATGTTTATATACACATCTCACATAATAAGTACTCAACATATCACAATGAAATCAAAATATTCTCATACTTTGCTAAATATCCAATGTTATATATTCATACACAATGTTTACTCAATATACTTAGAGACAAAACATATACATACACAATGTACTCAATATCTCACAATGAAAAGCATCTAATATTATATACTTGTCTCTAATATCCAAAATGAGGTTGCCTTTTCGATGACCAGCTCCTACACGATACAAAGTATTCGACCGATAAAGAGATAGATTTAAATACCGTCTGACCTTGTTTTATTGCAGCATCATCGTTACATAGAAGGAAAAGAAAGCAACAGAATAACAGATGAAAATTATAAGAGTATATGAGTCATGTTTCAATGTGAGTACCATCGACTGGAAACATAACCTGGAGCAAATTCTTGATAGACTGCCTTTCCCCTCACCTTCCCTAAGAACAAACAGGCCAAATGCTAGTAGATAGAACATGAATGTTGTACTCATCACATTTTGAATTACTGATATTATCTGCACAAGTTTCATCAAATTGCCTTTCCTCGTTTTATGCCAACTTTGGACGCCATTTTTTTCCTAAAAAGTAATTATTCCCAATCAGATAATACACACATATATAATGTACATATGAAAATGCTAAAAATGAAAATAATTTCAGAATGCTTGCTTAACCTGATGCAGCTTTGATGTCCTGATGCAGCTTTGATGTCCTGGGGCAATTGCTTGGATCGAATCAGCATGAAGTAATGCCTCAGTAGCCTGCAGCTCAATACTAGATTTACAGCACAGAGAAAACATTTCAAGAATATAAATAACTTTAAATTCTGCAGAATTCTAAACATGAGCCCGAAACGTCTAGAAATCCTATGTTTGTAACAAGGTTTACTAAAATTCTGAAAGAGAAACTCAGACCTGAAACTCTTTGAAACTTCCATAATGAAACCACATTCAAGATTGAATGCCTAATACCAACCTGAAATGGGGTCTTCCAACATTGATATATTGATCTATTGTCATATGTTTAAAAAATAAAAATTTATACTAAACCCTTACCCTTGACAATGATAATTTGATAAAAACATTTCACGCATGTGCTAGATGATATATACCAGTATATAAAATATTCCTGCATGTTTTAAATAGTAACTTCAATAAAACTACACAAATTGTTAGACCCTAGAGGGGGGTGATTAGGGTCTTATGCTAATCTAATCCGATTATATACCAATTAAAATTAATTAACAAGTTATCAAACCTGACCATGAAACAATTCAAACTTAACCTGAGTTTAAGGTCAAATGTTTTCATTTTTAGTAAGATACAGTTTAAACCTTGACCAAATTTTAGATAGGTTGGATTTAGGCTAAGATGTGTGCCAGCTAACCCAACCCAACCTACCTAAAGTACTTAACGCCAACTAGCTAGTTTCATGAAATAGAAAAGCCAACTCTTCATTTGTAACTCATGGATATCAATACACATAGGCTAGTGCTTATATAAAAGGATGAGATCCTTAGAGATTACATGTTGTGTCAAAAGAAGCAAGTACTTTATCAAAAGAAATTGAGTATTTAGCAGTTATAATGTGGTGATTAAGGACTGTGTATGGCAGTAGTGCTAGCAACTTGAGTGAGAAAACCCATCTCCCATTACAAAAGGCAGGATGGCTGAAGTGGAGAAATGTCCACAGTATTATGTGATCATATAATAGCCCATGAAATGAACAGAAAGTTTCCACTAGATGGTTATAAGATCAGTTATAATTTAAAGGTAAAATATCAAGCATTCAAGAAAATTATGTTCAAGAGATGAATTTATCTGAAAACGAGTAAGCAGCCATTGTGAGAAAAAGACTGAATACAGAATGTGTTCATTCATGGAAAATTAAGATAACATCAATAAATGATAGAAAATTACCCAGATTAAGCATGTAAGGAGACTATTAGAAGCTGCAAATGAAATATGAAGGCTTCTAACATAGCTGTGGAATACCAGGATAAGGGATAGAGCAAATAAGCTTGAATTGAAGCTGAAAATGAAATATGAAGGCTTCTAACTTGACTAATTATTCATCTACAGATAAACGAAAGAAAAAGAATTCAGAAAGCCGACAAAAAATTGAGACAACAGTATTCATTATTATCATTTTGCAGCAGAATTCATAAGCTAATCCACCAGATTTGACATAAAGAGTATACAGCTCAAAATAAATAAATCCAGCTCAGTTCAACTGTCATTTACATTCCTACCATAAAAGCTCATGCTTGTAAACTTCAAATAGTCAATCTGAACTTACTTCATCATCCAAAACTGCTAAAAATCTTATTATTACCCAACTGAGTAATTTCATCAAGCACTTACCGGGCATCAACCAGAACAGATCTTCTTCAACCTCTCAGCCGCCGACTGATCCACCGAATACTGCAACCCAACCACCAAAATATCAGCTATACAGATAACAAACACACACACACACACTTGAACAATGCACAAACCAACACCACTTGAGCTAATAATTGTAAATTTGGTCTGAAAAGATTGAAGAGCCTTTTACTAAATTAAAAAAAAAATCTACCTTACAATGGAAAATATACCTTACTAAGCATAACAACAAGACTCATTCCGGCTGAGTAGCGTGTGGAATCGAGAGGCGATTGAGGAGGCGGCGGAGTAGCGGTGGAGGAGGAGGCGAGGAGCGGTGGAGGAGGAGGCGGAGGAGCGGTGGAGGAGAAGGCGGAGAGCTGTGGAGGACGAGGTGGAGGAGCGGTGGAGGACGAGGCGGAGGCGGAGGAGCGGTAGACGACGAGGCGGAGGCGGAGGAGCGGTGGCGAAGCGAGAGGCCGTGGTCGGACTTCCAAAATTTTGGGGAAATATCGCGCTGGGGGGCTATTTTGGGGGAGCGGCGGTTTTTAGGGAAAAATTTTGGGGAAATATCGCGGGTTCAGAGGGAGAACGGGAAAATATAGCGGGGAAATGAAATTTCAATTTTGTAGGATTCATCAAAACTCCCAAACAGGTTTACCTGTTTGGTATAAAATATCCCAAACGGTTAAATCCGTTTGGATGTTCCGTATGGATTTTTCTAAACTCCCAAACGGTTTAAACCGTTTGGAATTATTATCCCAAACGGTTTGAACCGTTTGGGCTATCTTGATTTGCCCAAACGGTTCTAATAACTGTTTGGGCAGACCAGTTTTGTACTAGTGGTGAACGGTCAGAAATTTGGATTATTCTTATACTCTAAACATCCATGTTATCAATTAACTAGTACACCCCTCGTTACCCTTTAACAAAAACTCAGAAAGAAGATGTTCTTTCAGAGATTGCTGCCCAAAAAAAAGTTTAGCAATATACTCATCCAATATCACACCTCACATACTGCACCTTGGACTTGTTTGGCCCAAACATGAGCCTCAATTTATTCTCATTACATAACATAAGCGACAATATTGCACAATATAAACTATGCACGTAACTATCTACTAACAAAAGAAGTTAATATGTGATGAAGCCTGGTTGCTCTCATCCTCATCCCGTGGCGGAGAATGTGCATGTCGCCCTTCGTACGTAGTGATCACCATACGCGCATCCTCAGCCAGCCGCTCCACCCTCTTCTTCACCCTGCAGTTGTCCTGTGTGCACCTATAGTAGCTCCTATAAAGAAAAAATAATCGCTTAAAATTCTATTCAAATGCATCAAGGAGTTCGAAGTTATAGATGAAGACGGATGTTAATAATGTTTATACTTACTCCATCATGTTTCCCCTAGGGTGCGTGCTCTTTACAGGGATCGAAATCTGGGTTATTACTTTGAAGGTGTGATGAAAAGTTGGGGACTTTACTCCCCAAAAGGCAATAAAGAAGATCACAAATATCATGGGATGAACTGGATTTCTTTATCGATCGAGAAAATCTACATCATATCCCCGTTTCGGGATTCCACAGACCAAATTATGTACTAATCTGCCTTAACCCTGACTTACAACAACAGAAAACCTTACATATATAGAGAAGCCAAGCCTCTCAACACTATCAAACTACGTGAGTTGCAAAGAAGCAAGGGCAGAATCCTAACTAAAACTTGAGGTGTTAGGGCGGAAAGGCCCATACACGCAGGAAGATGACTAAGATGGCTAGACTAGTCTACCTGAACCCAACAATATTAGGCTAAAAATTATTAAACCCGTTCCAAGTCACGAGACCAAGCACGTGTAAGCACGTATTTATCTAGTTGTTTTTCAGCATGGGGCTACGTATCATCTTATGTCCTTTCTTCTAAACCAAACTCTGCATTTAAACGGAATGGATCCTAACATGAGGAATATAATCTTTATACGTAGTACTGACACAAACAACACATTGTGGCATATTAGTCCCTTTCCAAAAGCCATCAATTATGGCAAACATAGTGATTATGACATAGGACAAGGTCTTGGGGTCCTATCTCTAGGGGGGGCTTTGGATTAAGGGTGAGAACAAATTTGATTCTCAAATGATCGATACAGGACGGGCCACTAGCTAAGGCTCTCAATCAAAGGAATGATTGCAACTGAGTATCAAACTTTTTAGTCAGATGATTTTGCTGTAGGATAGCTAGTGGGTGAGAGAGCCAGAGGTTATTGGGGATGGAAAGGACTTGTCACCTGAACAAACTCATTTCCTTGTGTCGGTTGAATGAGTCAGGGCTATGCGTACATGTTTTGGTCCCAGGCGCCTTATCTTGGTCATGTGATCAAATAGGGCCCTCATCTTCCATAATGGGAGTTTGCTTAGCCAGTGGCCAATGCTAAGGTTGTTTGCTTTCATGTTGAATGCTTTGTTTAAGTTGAACCGTGATGGTAGTTTCTTGTGTGTATGACTAGCTTGGGTCTGGCTAAGAATAAACTGAGTATTTATTTATTAGAATACGTGCAACTTGTTTTTAACTAGGAACGACTTGCATATATAGAGTTCCAGCAACATGCAGTTTCAACCGTGTGAATACTAAAGTAAGATGTTTAATTTCTAATGTCCATATTCCATCATTGTATTTTGAACAAAAAGTTACTTTTAAAATAGTGCAAATGGAACTGCGTACAGGGAAAAAAAAAAAAAAAAAAAAAACCCAGCAGCATTAGCCCTAATTAATAAAAGCTTTGTGATCATTCTAGCATATAAGTTCTCCCTCAAATCTAAGAATAACTGTATCTTTTTTCTAATAAAATAATTAAATCCCCCTTAAAGTATTGGTGAACTCTCAATTTCCCCCTAAAGTATCAATATCTAAGCCCCCCCCCCCCACCCTAAACTATGATCATTTTGTGAGCCACAGTCAAATATTTAACAAATTAATGATATTTATTGTTTTGTTTTCCATTTCTTGTATTTTATGCAATTTAAAAGTGATTTTAAGTTCCTAAAACATGTTGAAGGTAACAAGTTTAGCGGCAAATGTAGTTAAGATTTTTTTTTTTTTTTTTTTGGGTGGGTGGGGGGGGGGGCCGGCCGGTGGCGAGAAAGCAAACAGAGCTGATAAAACCCATAAGGAAAAAAACACTAACACATTATTAATCAGCTAAATATTTGACAGTATGTTCATAAAATAACTATATTGAGATCGCAATCATAGTTTGAATGGCAAAATAGATATATTGATACTTTAGGGAGAACTTGATCAATACTTTAAGGATAAGTTAGTTATTTTGTCTCTTTTTATTTTATATGGAATTGGTAGATCTAAACTCTATGTTTCACTACTAACAGTCTAACAAAACAATCAAAAAATTAAATAGAAGAGTATACGATCACAACAAAGTAGCCACAGCTGCATCATACGTAAAGCAAACACTAGCTCATAAAGACTGCACTATTTGAAGTTGTATATATATGCAGTTAAAAATGATTTGCAGCTCTAACTACAAGCAAGACAAAAAGAACGGTTTCAATGTGTCATCTCACTTTCCAGAGAAATAATGTATATACTTCACTATATGTATCGTGTGCAGACAAAATGCAGCGAAGTTAGAAAATTGTAAAGTGTCCTTAGTATGAAGTTGTATATTTATATTGGCCTATGCACGTACATATATACACTATACTAGGAACTGATCAAGAAATTTACTAAATCACAGTTTTAGAGCGTACATGCTATTTCTAGGGAATCTCGCATGTTGTTAAACTCAACTTCACTTGTATTTATTAATGTGGGTTCATCGAAGATCTTTTAATTGATAATTTGGAGACCATTTATTTTCTCCAAAAAAAAAAAGATAAAGGAAAAGGATACAAATTGCAAGCTACAAAAGTGCTAAAAGATTACCATTCCGTTTGTTTTGTTACATTCTTTGGAGTAATAAAAACATCTTTATCTATATCAACCTTAAATTTTTTACAATTATATAGGCCTACATAGAGAATCTAAAAGAGCAAGTACATAAGAAATATATTTTCTGTATAGACAAATATGGTAAAAGATAATTATAGAGATCAGAAAAACAATGGGTAACTATATATGAAACTTCACTAGATATATAACTCAAGAATATAGCTTTAGGGTTCTCATTCACATGTCTCCTCAGAAATTCTACAATACTGATATATTATTTCTGATTTTTAAGTATTAAACAACATTCATGGAAAAGGCTTAAAACCTCCAACTACTAATTCCTAGAGCTTGGATATGTAATGTGCATCACCAAAAGATTTACATTGAAAATCCAAATAAAAAACTGATCTATTCTGTAAAATTTCAATGACTTACATAGTTATATTGAATTATTTGTTTGAACCCTGATCGAAGAAATTTCACAGATGTCATGTGAAGATCCTCTTTAACCTACTACACCAATCTATTTCAGTATTTCCTTTAAAAAAAATCTATTCGAATAATACTAGAGTAGGATGACTAAGAATTCTATAATCAAATGATTAAACAATGATAATGGGAAGGCTATGTAATCTTAAAATGGTTATATCTTACTTGTACACAAATCTCTGACAATAAGACAAATTTGATACAATTTTTTTAGATGAAAGCCAGTCATGCATACATAAATTTATTAAGATAAAGAATGTATATAAATATAGCATCGGATTAATGAACTAAATTAGGACTTTTTTCCTGTCAAATATATGGAAAAAAAAAGAGGACTGTTTGAACTGGTGCAAATATGTAAATCTGGTGACTCTAAGCTCAAGGTAAGTAATGCTGCTTTAGTAGCTAAATTAGCCGTCAACATTTTTTAGCCATTTACTTACTAAACTGGAATGTCTGAATATTGGTTCATCAAACAATTTAACAGTAGACTCTTTCTGATCTAGGAGGAATTTGGAGTGTTTCTACTTACTCTCATCCGCTTAAACAGTAAGCTAAGATACTTCCCTAGCTCCTATTTGCAGCAAATCTAGTAGGTTCATACTTCAAGGGTTTGTCAGTTGACATTTGGTTAAAAAAGGACAATTTAATTAAACGCTTTACTAGATGAGATATCATATGTAATTAATCAAGAAAATTAATCCAATGACAATGGGAATTGTTACTAGATTTATTGCCAAATAGATTACTAACATGCCACCACATTTTGATTTTAATGTTCTTCTCAGAAGAGTTACTTCCATCTCACAACAGAAGCTAGCTCTAGCTCGAGGAAGTTTTGCTTTGATAAAGCATTTGGTTGGGAGAGTTTAAGTGTTACCATAAATATCTATGGAGGAAATTAAATTTTCCCATATATATGCTTCGTTAATCTCACATTTCACACTATTGAAGCAATCTATTTTAAAACAAATTAGGCCTGAATGTCATAAGTGAAAAATATACGGAGTAGAAAGTAGAGTATGAGTAGTAGACCATGGATATGTGTGGTAGGCAACTTTATTGTCTTTTCCCTTAACTATATACGCAAAACTTCCACAGCATTCCAAGCTCCTCTCACTCATCATATGTAATAATTACATCACAAGGCCAACAGTAATAGGTTACTATAGGTTCATAATGAAATACTCATCACTATGTATCATCATATCTATTGATCATCAACTCTAGGCCTTTCTAAAGGTCTTGTTTTGATATCTGACACTTTGTTTGATAATGCATTGATCACAAGATTCCCATATCTACTATGCTAGCTACTTAGAAATTGTACTGACCATATTCTCTAAACAAAATTTTTATAAAGGAGAAAATACACAAATGCCAACCTCCGAGTAAGCAAATGAATGCACATTAAGCAAAATATTTGAATGTAAATGATTTGAAGTCAGTAGTACGTACATCGAGGAGCTAGCTGCGATGATTGACAACAAGGTTACAAATACTACTAAGAACAAGTCAGAAAAAGAGAGCAAGAAACCCTAGCTATCTAGCTAGAAGATACACGTGGACCTTGATAAAGGATTTTAAAAGATTTAAACATATGACAAGGAAAGCTATGGCAAAAGAACTAGAGCTAGTTACCCCCTCGATAGGAATAATATTGGACCACTTTGAAAATCTGCTTAATCAAATCATGAGTTGTCGAATAATTAAGAAATAAATTCCAGGCAGGGACACTGCAAGTGTTAATATTTCTAACATGAACCTGGCTAAGTTAAGGAAAAACCTTTGCGAGGGGGAAGATAATTATAAAACCAAGGAATACCACACAAAATGTTTAAAGGATTTAACCTCTAATATCAACATCTTCATAACAAGTCATTAAGTCTTTTCCACACCAATGTCCTCTGATTGTTCAGACTTTTCTCTTTGCTCAAATGATCTTAATGTTAGGGACCATTTAAATCAGAGGCATGCAGGAGAAGGTCACATGCCTTGTACTCCTTTTCTCTGTTTCTCTTTTCATCCCCCCCTCCCCTCGTGTCATTGATATTAGTATTAGAGTTAGCTAGCGCCTTTTTTTTATCTATACCACAAAGACTCTACATCATCTTGCCTTTATTACAAAGTCCAATCCTATGATATCTTTCGGTTACATACTTTAATCAAAATCAGCAATTTAATGTGATTAAGTTTTTTCCAAGGAACAAAATTTATCAGAGTAGAATTAGATACATTATTATAAGGGAAAAGATAAAACATTACCTTGCTAGCTCCAAGACCACAAACAACAAATCAAGAAAAAGAATATCATTATTTCCAAAACTGGCTTCATGCTAACCAATGCATGCATGTGGATACTCAAGTGCATTACCATCCTTGATAGTCGTGACTAAAAGTGAAGGATCTTCTGGTTGCCCAAAGCAAGCTCATGCATAGCGCATAATCTACCAATAGTTCCGCACCATGCAATTAAACATAACATAAAACAAAAGAACTATGCAAATTAAGATTGAAGAGAAGACATCCGAGGGCAATGGAAATTTCATAAAATTATACCTAGGATGTTGGGTGTTCTTCACAACTTTTTGTCCATACTTCCTCCACTTGTATCCGTCATCCAACACATCAACTTCACTCATGGTCTTGAAGCAAAACCTTGGCTCCCTCACCTTTCTTCTTGCCTTCATCACCTTCTTCATCCTCTTGGCTCCAACTGATGACAAATTCTCGTTATAGCTTCTATTGTTGATGGTACTAATATTGCTGCTCTTGTTGCTAATATTGTGAGCATCCTCCCTGGTTGATGATGACCTATAAAAGATAACATGAGCCATGATCCATACCATACATAGAAAGATAATAAGGGGATTATATAAGCTATCGAATAAAGAGCTAGCTTACAAAGGATTGATAGTACTAGTTGTCTCTTGGATTGAAAATGAAGATCCAAGGTCCTTTAGATTGGAAGAGAACTCTACAACTCCATTAACCCTAGGAGGAGCTAGGGTTTCCAAAGAGTTTTGGAGGCCATAAAGAGGAAAGGAAAGATGAGGATGAGGGAGGGGAGAGGGTTGGGAGAAGAAGCTCATGTGGGAGGTTTCTTGACTCTCCACCAACCCTTCGTTGATCGGCATGAAACTAGTAGTGGAAGGCCGCATCTCACTTTCTTTTGTTTCCTTATTTCTTCTCCAACTCTTTATTTTATCTTCTACCTTTAGATCTCCCTGTCTCGTATGTGGCAAAAAAGAATGTGGTGAAAGCTAAAGCTATGTTTGGTAAATGGAGTTAGGAAATAGAGTCATGGGTTTTGAATACACGAGTTTGTAGAAATTATGGTTTTGAATATTGATTTAGTGTTTGGATGAAAAGAATAGTGACATGATGGATAGTTGAAGAAAGATGCCTTTCTTCTTGCTTTTGGACAAAAATAACCTTGTCATTTATATATGTTTGTTATTAAATATTTAAATATGTAATAACTAATAGAGTTTTTCCTTTATGTACCTTCAAACCATAGGTATTTATAAAAAAAGAGAAAATTGTTTCGAGGCCCTAAATTTTAATTTTCAATGTGTCCCAGCGTCTTAACTTTTAACAATGTGCTGCAGCCTCATTTTTTTAAAAAAATTATGCTCAAGCCCCTCTCCCCAAGTTTCAATGCAAACTCCATCCAAAATCTCAATTTTATCATCCTTCTCCTTCAGTCCTCCTCTACCGCCTCCCCCACCTCCTTCCCCATCTCCACCTCCCTCCCTCGCTCCGTCCTCCTCACCGCCTCCCTACCCCGCTGCACCTCCCCCGCCTCCCTCCCCCCGTCTCTCTCCCCCGCTGCACCTCCCTCCTCCTCCTTCGGTCCCCCTTTGCCCCCTTCCCCGCTCCGCCGTCGGCGCCGTCCCGAGGAACTTCGCGTGACTGGCGACGGTCATGGTTATCATGTTAACATGTTAACTCTTACGGTTAACATGTTAACTGTAAGAATTAACATGTTAACTGTAAGAGTTAACATCCGCTGACATGAGAAAGAGATGGGTAAATTTGGGATTTAAGCTAACTGACATGTCTAATCATCCGCTGGCGTGAGCTGGAATCATGATAGAGGGGTCTGGACACAATTTTTTTAAAAAGAAAGGGTTGCAGTATATTAAAAAAATATGGGGGGCTAGGGCACATTGAAAGTTGGAATTTGACACAATTTTTCCTTAAAAATGAATCATTATAACTTTTCTTTTACTAGACATTTTTCTTATTTTATCCTTCATTTAAGTAATAAAAATCGAAAAATGTTGTTAAAAAGACTAATCTGTCTAAACTAACTGTAGTTAAGTCAATTAAAACTTAACGTGGGTAATCTTTTTTTTTGGTAAATGAAAAAGATATATTCATCACCAAATTGGAAAAATGTAATTACATCAAGGATCTCATCATATAAGAGAGATTCCAACCGAACTGGAAACTAAGCTCAATAGAGATACACTGAGCTTTACAAGGTTTGCTCCAACTGTCATCTAATCACTACATTGTTGACTAAGATCCACAACATTCCTCAATGAATGAACCAGAAGAAACTGCCACGAAAATGCACAAGAAGATGAACGGTAGGAAATTTTTGCACAAGATGCTTAGGAAAGTGCACTGCAGGCAAATTGGACATATAAGCCAGACCTTAAATTGTTGATGGGCTATGTCTTCAAGATCCATCAGATGGGTTAGCACGGATAAGCACAGGGAAGTGCTCTTCAGTCATATTGCACAAACATGCACAGGTATGTGCACATCTAGCCAAACCACAGTAAATAACACAACATAAACTACACTTCATCCCAATAAGAGGCTAGGGGGCTATTGAGAACTGATATCAATATCTCAAACTTGATTTCCTTTACCATTTGATCTACATCTTTATTTTTTTCCTGGAAAAACCTGTTATTGGCCTCTTCCTCTCAACCTGTTGGAGTACCAGTCCACAATGTGATCCCATAGACATGATTTCCAGTTGAACTTCAACTATTCCATAACTTTATTCCAGACTTCACTTGAATATGTACATTCAAAGAATAAGTGTTCGTGGGTAATCTTGATATTGTAAGAATACTGTTATTGCACTATGTAGGCAGGGAACAATATATATATTAATTATTTTAACAATAATCTGATAATATGGCAAATTTAAATTTATCTTCTAAGTTTAGTTAACTGAACTAAGATAGCTAGACATTACTTCTGAAACCAGTCATCCAATAAAATATTCAATAGTTACAACAAGAAAAATTTATATGTACATCTACCTATGTGTGTATATCAATAGAAAAACGGATATGAGCTGATAGTTCTTTATTAAGTAAGCTGATAAAAAGGTTGTAAAATCCACTCTTCTAATCACTTCAAAGCATTTGAACCTTGACGCTCCTCTCTTTAACTCATTTTTCTAAGGTTAGACAATATCAAATATCTATGATAAGGTTATACTGCATATAATATATACTTGAGAAGTTTACACTCATCAATTAAAAAAATAAATGTATGATCATTTATATTAATATAACAAAATGTCTTATGATCCAAATTAACATCTCATCACTGAGGTATAAATCACCGGTAACGTGTCGCCAACATCAATGATGTTAAAGAACTATGGCCACAAATAACAAAGAAAGTCTTTGGATTATGTGGATACATGGCACATACTTAAAGAATAATGATATTTGGCATATTCAAGCAAAGAGTAGGGATTCGTGGATGTGGAAAAAAAATTTGAAAGTCAAAGATAAGGCTCTGAGAATATATGGAAGTGCTGACAATGTGATACAACTAATTCAAAGCTATTCCAGGAATTCAAAAATCCAGCTCCTCGTGTTGTATTCTGCTCTATCTCTTGCTGCCTCTGTAGTGTCGTGGTGCAATGCAGTTTGGGCAACTTCAAATCTGTCCAAACATTCTTTTGTCAGTTGGTTAGCTGTTCAAGATTGTTTGCTCACACAATATAGACTGGTCAAAAGAAGGATTGTGAGTGTTAACAATTGTTGCTGGTGCTCTGGTTCTGAGAGCAGGGACCATCTCTTTTTTGAATGCCACTACTCAAGGGATATTTGGGACATGGTTATGAATTGGCTACAATTCAGGTGGAGATCTTGCATTTGGAGTCGGATTATAAATTGGTACTGCTTTAGATTGAGGGGGAATGGTTTCAAGCAAAAAATTAAGAAAATGACTCTCACCTCAACAATCTATAGTATTTGGTGTGAAAGGAACTCCAGAATTTTTAGACAAGAAGGAAAAACTGTTGTTCAACTGTTTAAGGAGATAAAGTTCAACATTCTATCTAATATCCTCAATGGCTCCTTCTCGGCGGAAGACAAAGAATGGCTTAGTACTTTGTAATTTCTTGAGGATGTGAGTAGCTGTTAGTTAACATGTAATCTCAGTCTAATGAGGAAGTTGATGTGCTGAACTTTCAATATTTAGAAGATGAATGAAATTTTCATTGACAAAAAAAAAAACTATGACTACAAATTCTCAAGCCATTTAACTTTTTGGTCAAATGGTTTTGTATTAACAACACATATGAGGAAAAATATATATTCTCGTAGGTATTAAAACTTCTTCCTTCCATCCTTGTATATAGTATATACTATATTTATTATCCATATATATATGGTGCGAATGAAGGACATGTACGAGATGCAACTCATTTTTGCAAAATAATTACCAAGAGATATAGAAGTTGTAAGACTCATTAACAACTACACCAGAATAGATGAGCCTTCGCTATTTTTACCTCTTCACAAGTCACTTTGCCAATAAACTGGCACTATATCGAAAACTTGGTTTTATGCTAGAATACAATATTATAAAATCGATCTTTTATTAGAGTTATGTATAGCAAAAACGGATCTCGCGGTGCGTTTGACACAAATAGAAAGGATCAGAATTAGCCCTGACTCGGTCTCAAACTATGTTCTATTTGGCAAAAGCTAACCAATAATCAGTCCAGCATTTTTTATGAATGACCTCTCTAGGCCAGTTCTAGCCAACCCGACTACAATATAATCCGATCATGATCCATTTTGGCTCAGTTTTTAAAGATTTTCAAGTAATATACCTGTTTTCAAAAGTCTACTATGAATTGAAGTTGGGTTTTCAGATGAGTACACAGTAACGTTACGAAAGAGGCACGAGCGTATGGGTACAAGATAACTCCACTCACCCCTACTTACTGTCTCCTTTTGCACGGACTATAATCTCAAGCAATGATGGGCAAAATCTTGGATGCAAATCTCTCTCTCTCTCTCTCTCTACATCCATCACTGGATGATATGAGTATTGGCTCTCGAGCCCCCTTGACTGTTTCAATCCAAAAAGTCCTAGACCTTTATCAAAACATTTTATGTATAGATTTTATTTTTACTCTTTACACTGTTTCAGTCCGAGCGCGCGTTCTCTCTCTCTCCTCTCTCCTCTCTGTCTCTGAATGATATGTGCAGAGAGCACTGGGCAGGTGGAGTCTGCAGCTACTGAACTGGGAGACCATCATTTCGCATTGGGACTTGAGTGGGCTTCTGAGCATTTGTGAGAATTTGTAAGCACAATAAGCGGAGATTGAATAGTGCGGTTTGGACAAATGGGGAGGGAGAACAGTTGACTCGAACATTTTTGTTCTGTGGAGTAGTCCAACTTAATTAGCATGGGGCTCTAGGAGTAACCACCTACCTGTATATATATATATGAGAGAGGAGCATACTGATTGGTGAGTTGTCAAGTATATAGGTTTGGAAGAACTCAATTAGTAATTCTTTTTTTGTCTCTTTTTAGTTAACTCATTGAGTAGTTCTCACTGTGATAAGAGTAATAGATATAAATACAAAGTATGAGGTACCTAGCTTCCCAAGCAATTATAGGATTAAAAGAATACATCTAAGAGTCTATTCTATATTGGGGAATTTAGTCTCCCGGCCTACTGTGATATGCGCAACTCGAAAGCCCACCACAATCAACAAGATATAAACTAACTTCAAGAAGAAAAAATATCAAGATTTACGTAGTTCGATCGACCACCTTTGATTTACGTCTACGGGGCAAAAATACGAGAAATAAATACGAGAAATTTACTATGTATTAGGGAGAACTATAAGAAGAATCACTCAACTCTCACTTTCTCAATCTTTCAACCTCACATACATAATCAACTCTCATATTCTCTCTGAAGCCCTCTCCTTATAATCTTTTGAACGGACAAACACTGTGAAACCCTCTCCCAATGATGTAATCTTTTACACGGACAAAGACTATGGAAACCCTCGCCTCTCGTACAATATTCTTAAATCAGA